TTTATAATATTTGCGTATTCACTATATTAGAATCTTGAGTAAGTAACGAAAAAGTTTCAATAACCAATTCACCCCCCTCTTGGTTAGTTATTCTTGGGCTAACAACCCAAACCAACCACCGCCAGTGAAGAAGGAGAGAGAGAGAGAGAGAGAGAGAGAGACGCCAGTGAAGTGAGGAGGGAAGCGAACGCATTTTCCATTTTTTTAATTTTTTAAAAAAAATTTCAAAATGTTAAAAAGAACACATTTTCAATAATCTTAAAATGGACACTCAAAAACACAAAATCCAAAATGAATTCAAAACACAAAACTGAAACACAAAGAGAACAACCCCTAATGGTTTTACAGCCTTTTCATTTGCAACATGTAAGACGTGAGAAAGTATAATTAATGGGATGCTTTGCTTTGAACAACAAATTATTGTGGCATGTCAACCTATCCTTTACTTGCTAAGTTTGTTAGCGTTCTCGTGGTACAAGTCATTGGCAAATTTAGGCATTTGTTTGAGCCTCATTTTTATTTTATTTTTTGAAAAAAATAATTCTTGAATAGGGTTGATCCCACTTGAACCACATTTCTTAATAAAATAATATTATACGCAAATATGAAATTTTTCCTTATTTTGTAATCACACATTTTCCATCAATACACTATTTAAAAATACATTTTTTTATAAAAAAAAAAATGAAGCTCAAACAAACCTTAGAGGTAGGGATGGCAAAAAAACTCGTCGACTCGGAAAAAGCCCGAGCCGATGCTTGGGCCAACCCGTGGCCCGGGCGAGTATGCCCATTAAAAAAAATTAAAATTAAAATTTTTTAAAAGAGTTGCTAGCCTTCAATATTAAAAAAAAAAATCAAAAAACTCGAGCAGGCTATGCTCGCTAGAGCTCGGGCCGAAAGCCTCATTTTTTTGGTCGGGCTTTGCTCGGCGCGGGTCCAAAAAAGCTTAAGCCGAGCCCGAACTTTTTTTTTCGGCTCAGGCTCGATTCGACTCGACTCGACTCTTTGACATAGCTACCTAGAGGGAACTTTAGCAGCTCATTTTATATTTTTACTTGTATTATGTAGAATTTTTTGGGAAAATATGGTCTCAAACCTTTCATTTTGTTGTAAAATTTACTCAAAACTTTTTATTTATGTCACCTATAGTCTCAAATTGTAGCAGCAGAAGGACAAATGGATGAACCGTTAGTTGATAAACGATTTTTTTTACTCTTTTGACCAATTATAAAGGGATAAAATAGTAACTTTAGATTACCACATAAAATAATTAAAATAACAAAACCAAAAATAAAAGAAGAAATAAAAATGATCTTAACTCTAAGAGAAATGTCTAATGATCTCGATGTAACTTCGAACTTAATTTTTTTTAATCCAGTAATAAATTCGTCCTTAAGCATAAGGTTATTTTATGTATACAGTAACTGATAAATACTCGTAAATCAAACAGTCTTAATTACAAAAAAAAAAAAATATAGAATTTATGAGTGGTGTTTCATGACAAAATTTTTAGAGAGATGCTACAGGACACGCCCGTGTACTCGACCCCACGCCCCCCCCCCACATGGGAGGGGGGCGTACCATTATTTTATTCACCTCGGGCCCTCCTCATTGTGAGGGGGCGGTGAGGTCGTGTACCCCGAGCATGTAAACGTCTGGGTACATTTAGTAAAATTCAAATTTTTAACACTTATCAATTTTTAATTAATTTTCGTCAAGATAAGACACAGCACCTGTGTGGTGCCTTTGAATAATTTTCAAAATTTATTTACTAAAAACTATGAATATAAAGGTTGATTGGCAATTTTTCTTTTCGTTTCTTTTTGTTTGCCGAGGTAGGTATCGCGCATTGCACTGCACGGCGCACCTTAGTCACGCACTGTGTCTCTGTCAGATACTTCTTAAAGTTCACTTCAACCCCATCTATACATCATATACATCTCTACAATGAGCATCAGAATAGACTCAATTACAACTCAAAACCCTAGCCTGAAGAGAGCTTATTCTCCTTCTGCAATGGCTCTCTGTTATTCTCCGCACTCGTCGCTAGGGTTTGAAGCTCGGCACAGACCGGACAATTACTGTAAAATGTCTATTGTAGCCCGGTTCGTTCAGCCCAGAGGGCTTGGCCTTAAACTGGTTCCATTACGGAGGCGGAATTTTCGGGAACGTTCAGTTCTGTCGTTCGCGGCTTCACAAGAGGAATCGGTGAGCTTACTTTGATTTTTATTTTCTCGCAGTGTTTCCGCTGTTTTTGTGTGTTGGGATTAACTTTCTGTGGTTTGAGAAAGATTGTAAGTTCTGCAAGAGTTGCTTGGATTTCGGTTTTTTAGTATTTTACTTTTTGAGTGGTATGATCAGACTTGTTATTTGATAACCGAAGATATGAATTATATAGTTTTGTTTTGTATTTTATTAATTTCTTTTGAGAGAGAGAGAGGGTTTTCGGCTATAGAAACTTTTCTGTAAGCTTTTAATAATTATGGTAACTGTTTGGATAAATATGATTGTAAAATAGGCTGCTGCGTCAATCCTTCTGAGATTAATTGTGACTACAATACCCAGTCGTCTTAGTTTGGAGATGTCATTTGAACAATAACGGCCACTACGAGAGTCATTTCCACTTATGAAGGGCAATGTTTTTTTAATACCGACTGTTTTCCTTACGTCATGGAAATGTGGCTTTTATATTGGAATGACACCAAGAGCATGTTTTGCTAAGCTTACAAGCTTAATCAAACATGATAGAAGTTCCATTGCAATTTGTAATTTTTGGGTTACCAGGATGAAGGGTTGTTTGTGAAATTATTAGAACTTAGTCATCAGCACACGAGCTCAATTATTCTTTCTGTTGAAACCTATCCTTGAGGTCGTTCCAGATTTCAAAGGCTGAATTAGCATATATTATGCTAGCTGAGATCTCCTTTCAGACGGAATTGAAGATCCATGATATAACCATGTTATTGTTTCGAATCCATGAGTTAACCAATTCAACATCAGTACCTTCCGGTTTTGATATACTTCCATCAATGAATCCTGTTTTATTCTTCACTGATAATGCAATCATCATTGCACGGCTCCAAGAGGCATAGTTCTCTCCCGTGAGCTGTTGTGATACAAGGATTAACCCTGGGCTATCAGAATGGTGAAGGAAAAAAGGACTTGAAGGTTCATCAATGACAGATTTACTCATGGCTGATCGCACTACAATAATTTCTTCTGATTCCATTGGTTCCATGAGTGTAGATTAATTCTAACAGATGAAGGAATGCACAGAACGGAAATGAGACTGGAATATTTTCTATGATACCATGTTAGATTGAGAAGGAAGATATTTTATTCATTCTCGAAAATTACATAAAATGAATGTACAAAGGGGCTATAAATAAGAATCAGAATTGGCACCAAAAGAAAAGAATAAACCAGCTGGACTAACTAACAATTAAGTTGGAGGAACTAACTAGCTAACAGACTAAGAGAAGTAACAAACAAACAGAAAGAATAATTGAACTCGTGTGCTAATGACTAAGTTCTAATAGAAATAATAAGCTCGTGTAAAGTTTACAAGCATGCAATATATTTGTGATTTTCAGTGACTTTTTGGTTACTTTTCTAGGCTTGCCTTTCTTTTTGTTGGTTTTCCCTGGAAATTCTTTCATTTGAACTTGTAAGGCCTGATTTTGTGGCAATCTACTTTTCAGAAGCCTTCAGGTATTGAAATAGAGAAGGAGGAGGATCTTAAAGCGGGAGCTGAAGAAGCAGAAGAAGCATGGACACAAACATTAGATTCTGTTAAAGAACAAGCCTTAAAGATGCAGAGTATATCAAAGGAAGCGTACGATGTGTATTCTAAAAAGGCTATAGTCATTTTGAAAGAAACTTCAGAAAAATCAAAAGTTGAAGCAGATAAAGCTAGACATGAGCTGAGCAAAATTGCAAAAGAAGTTGCTGAAGAGAGTAAAAAATATTTAGCCACAGTTGCAGAGAATTCCCCTGAACAAGTGAAGGATATTGTTGAAACCTTTGCCTACCCAGGGGATGAACTGAACGATGTCTCTGAAGTACGGGACTTTTATGTTGGAATACCTTATGGTATGTATACAAGTTCAAAAGATATAAGTGTGTAATATGCTTGTATATATACCTTATGTTGAACTTTAGAAGAGATGAAGAAGAACCAGCAGTGATCTCATTCCATTGCTCATGCTTTCCAGGTGCGCTTCTTTGTGCTGGCGGCTTTCTATCTTTCATGCTAACTGGAAGCGTTTCTGCAATCAGATTTGGTATTATACTTGGTGGTACTCTTTTGGCCATCAGTATATTAAGTTTAAGATCATGGAAAAAAGGAGAGTTGTTGCCTTTAGCCTTGAAAGGACAGACAGGTATCTATTTTCCTGGATGCTTGACACTAAACTGTATACAACTATCTAGTATTGGTGACATATTGATTGACGAGTGAGATACTCAGATGAAAATAATTGAATTTTGAGTTGATGTTAAAATGTGTTGACGGAATCATGCATAAAGCCCGTGTCATAATACTCAAGTTTATTGCCCCTCATATTTTAGAGATTCTGCAATAGATTTGCAGGTCAAATTTGTATTGACGTGCCTGTGTTACTCAAAGAAGATGAACAAAGAGATGTTGCCAAATATCACAAATGTGATTGTAATTGTTGTGTCTATCACAACAACAACAACAAGCCAAGTCTTGTAACTCTCGTTCCTAACAAATTAGGTGGTCTGTTACAGGGGTCCTTTTAATCAATCCTCTAATACAGAGCAAAGGCCTCACTGAATCAGTTCTTTTGCAATCAACGTATGCAGTGTTTATTCTGATAATAGCTTTCACATATACCATGCTCTTCTCTCTCATCTTCACATTCAACTGGAATTACATTGATCTTATGAATGAGAACTTTAGGTCTACGTGTATTTCAATTAAATAAAATGCCTTTCTCTTCACTTATCCTTTATTGGAATTGCCACCACTTGTTGTCACACATTTTTATTTCTTATTTTATGCATTTTTAATATAGATATATTCCATCTTCGTATATTCTCCTTTATCTACCTAACATTTAGTGCATTACCATATAGACTATAGTTCATTTAGCCCCCGTTTGGTGCACATTTTGATGGTAAAAATGCATTTTTACTGTTGATGTGATGGAGAATATGTGGTTGAAGAAGAAGAAGGAAAAGTTATTGATGTGATAAAAAATATTATTTTATTGAAGAATGTGTGATTAAAAATGAGTAGAAGAATAATAATGAAAAAAATAATGTGGACCAAACAGTGCCTTAATGAGAAGTCTATTAACTTTTCTTTTAACTTAACATTAGCATGTAGTTATCTATTTGTTAAAATCATTATAGCACTTGTCTATACATTTTTATTCTAGCTTCATCTTTATTCTTACCATGACTAAAACTAGAAGTCATTTCATACATGATACATTCTGTGGTGCTTCTATGCAATAGAAAACCGGTTGGCTCATGAATAGATTTGGTTTACTTTTAGTTTCTACATTGGGACGTAACTGTGGTATTGCATCATTAATGTATTTTCTATCATTTCCGCAGCAATTGCTACCATATTGTTTCTTAGGGATTTGCGCGTATGGTCCATGGTAACATCCTCTTTTTTTCTGCAATTTTGAATATTCTAGTCTCTTTTCATTTTTGATCAATAAAGTTTGAGAACACATTCTTCTTCTTTGTTTGCCTTAACATTTCCTATATTCCCTTTCTTTGCAGCGACCATTTATTGCCAATTTTGTTACAACTATCATAAGGTCTGAATCCCTCTGAAATCTTAAATTACTGTCAGGAAACCTTTTTCCAGCGTTCGTTTTGTCCAATTTATTTTATTGATATTTTGTTAACCACTATCACTGGTGGAAGTTTGTATTCAAAGATAGAACTAGGGGAAATAAAAAATAATAAAAGCTGCATAGTGAGCTAATTGAGATTTTACCAAAATAGTGTTTTACATTCGTGATAGACATTCATATTAACATAGTAAGAGTGATGTAATATCTAATCATAGAAAGAAGATAATGTGATGCGTAGACCTAAGTTAAATAAAATCAAGAGTACATAAAATGACAAATTTAACATAATATAATTATTCTTCTAAATTTTAGTGAAGGCCTCTTTTCTTAACTGCTCTCAATATAAGCATATATTGGCTTTATCTGGCTTCTGACAGTTCGCTTGCAATGTGCAGTGGCGCAGTGGTAGCGTTCTTTGTGTATAGGATCATTAGAGATGGTGGGTACACAAAGGGAGGATCCAGTTTGGAAACCGGGCCAGAAAATTAATCCTCTTGTAAAGGTCTATGCAGCTTTTTTATATAGCAAATTTTGTACTATTTCTGTATTAAGCATATGGCATTATCGTGTTTTAGGTTTCTCCGGGCTTTTGACTAAAATGTTCTGCAAGTTTAGATTTTAGTACTGCCTTTTCTTTATCAGGGTCTCCTCTCTTTCCCAGACGTGCTTCAGTTGAAGAGTCTGTCAGTATGTACCATGCAGTGGATTTGTCAAGAATTAATACTTTAAATAGCCCAGAATTACGGAATATGTTAGTAGATTTGTCAAGTGACTTGTTTCAACAGGAAGTTCGAGTGTATTATTTTGTAAGGCATGTAATGTGAGGAAATAAATTTGGATGGCCTATTGTGAATCTTTGTACTAAAAATCAATTGTTGCCTTTGCTTATCCCTTATCAAAGGTCATCTGTGTTTAGTTATTGACTTGCCTCTGAGAATCTACTCTGTATCCTTTCTACCAATTTTTATGAACTTCACTGGCCACCTTCAAATCCATATTTCTTTCCAATAGTAAAAAATCATGATCTCTTCCGATGACAAACGCAGAAAAGCAGTGGTGCTTCTGATGGTTGTAGAATCTCGAAAGGCCAGACAGTGCAGTGGTTACTGGTCTTAGTTGGGTCGTGCTTCCTTGATAAAATTTTAGCAATGGTTATTGTGTCATCATCCATTTGGTTATATAACAAAAGAAATGTATGCATGCTTCTATAACAGCCAAAGACATTCCATGTGTATTACAGCATGTAAATGCTTGATCAGTGAACAGAAATATTAAAAATTGCCAGCATAGAACAGATATGCCATTTTACATGCACCATCCAAGGAAAATTCCCAAACGATTGGGAGTCTCTCAAAAGCATCCAGGATTTACATAAAACATGAACAAGATCTAGACTACAGTGTGAAACACGAGTGAGCCATTAAGATGCAGGAAGCAGCTTCAGGGCAATAAAACGTTCACACAACCGTAAAACTACAGGTGGTGTAGAGTACAGAAATGTTCGCCATTCTTAACCGGCATGCTTTATTGTCCAAATCTCAGACATTCCCATGGGTAAGGTGATTAGGTACCTCCCCTTGATTATCCAAGGGCATGTACTGTGCCATGATGGCCCGAATCTCAGAGTCCATGTAGTGCTGCAGATGAATCAATGGCATGAGAATAAATAAAGAGTAAATGACATAACTGGAACATGTATAAAAACTGTGCTTCCCTGGGATGACGACCCAATGTGGCAGGTAAGCCAAACAGAACCATACAATAAAATGCTAATTCTTATAAGCATTATTGACATCACATTTTTCAATAATTTCTTGCAGTCCAGATGAGTTTCACTTAATAGATCTAAAATAATCTGTTTAGCAGCCCGAACTAGTTCACATGTTTCTTTTGTACGTCACTTCTTAGACCTACTAATGCTTGGAATTAGAAAGTAGGTGGCCCATGTGATTGAGCTTCCAATCTCCCCACCCCCACACAAAAAAAAAAAAAA